ATCATCTATCTCTAGGACCACTGTACTTTAGGAGTACTTACTAGATGTTATACACAATAACAAACTGGGTGTACTTTTGTTTTTAGAATTTCAAATAACTGTGAGCAATAATTTTCAACTCCCGGGAATCCCAAGTTACAAGAATAGGAGGTATAACCTAGTTGTAAAAGAAATATTCTAAAAAAGTAAAAAAAAACAAAAACCCTAATGACTTAATTTTTCCCCTTCGGTACCTGGTCATCTCTCTTCTTCCTTTTACTTTTTTCTTTTTTTTTGGGTGGGGGGGATAACTCAGTTTTTATTTGTTTATAATGGATGTACTGGCGATTGAACTCGGGACCTTGTGTATGCTAAGCACATGCTCTATCACTGAGCTATACCTTCCCCCGAGGAATTTTTCCCCTTCAGTAGAATTGCATGGGTGCTTGGGTGTCCAGAGGAGGTGAGCCAGGAAATTGAGAAATTTCTGTTTCAAGTTCAGATTTTGGTTTCTAATAATTCTGTCTATCCTTTTATTTAGTTACTCGGAATCTTATGATGGGAAGAAGAATCCAGATTAATTTTATATTATGTAGTCATAACTAATGTTTTCTTTAGCCAATTATAAAATTTTGCATTAGGTGAGTGTGCTTGTGTATACACACATTTGTGTAAAACATGTTAATTTATATATATTAATATTCTGAATACGGAATTTACTATATTGCTGAATAAATAGATCTTTATTCCTCAGAGTGAGGAAGTTGATTATTGATAGGAAGCTGTTCTAATGAGGGCAGACCAGATGCTAAATGAGATATAGTGGGCTAAACTATACCATAGATGTTTTCCTTGAAAGAGATAAATGACATTCTTTTTAAATTTTCATTTTATTTATTTATTTTTTAGCACACATACAGATATTTTATTGAAGTATAGTCAGTTTACAGTGCTGTGTCAATTTCTGGTGTACAGCGTAATGCTTCACTCATACTCGAAGATACATATATATATATATTTGTTTTCATATTCTTTTTCACCATAAGTTACTACAAGATATTGAATATAGTTCTCTGTGCTATACAGTATGAAATTGTTGTTTATCTATTTTATAAGATGACTGGATAAAGAAGAGGTGGTATATTTATACAATGGGATACTATTCAGCCATAAAAATGACAACATAATGCCATTTGCAGCAACATAGATGGACCTGGAGATTGTCATTCTAAGTAAAGTAAGCCAGAAAGAGAAAGAAAAATATCGTATGATATCACTCATATGTGGCATATAAAAAAAGACAAATGAACTTACTTACAAAACAGAAACAGACTCACAGACATAGAAAACAAACTTATGGTTACTAAGGGGGAGAGGGTAGGAAGGGATAAATTGGGAGTAAATGGCATTCTTATGTTTTTAACCAAAAAAGTTTAATGAAGTAGCATAAGCAGAGTATATTCCTATGACAAGATAGCTAATTTGACAATTGTTCAAGCAGTGGTTCTCAACAGGAATAGGGGGATTTGTACCCCAGGAGACATTTTTCTACCACAACTAGAGGGTATTTACTGGCATCTAGTAGGTAGATATCAAGGATTCTGCTAAATATCCTACAATGCCCAGGATAGCCCCATGTAACAACTAGTTATACAGCTCAAGAGGTCCATGGTGCTTTGGTTTAGAAACTCTTTTAGGGTATTTTTTTAGCGTGCCACATGTGTTCTAAGTATTTTTCAAAACTTCATGTAACAAATAAACCTTTAATAAAGGTATAATGGTCATAATAATTCCATTATTTTATTTTTGTGAAAACTTAAATGAATGGAAGTTTATTTGTGTGTACTTGGAATAATTTAGGAGAGGAAGGAATCAAGGGTGCATGTCAGCTTTCTGGCTTGAGCAGCTCACCAGAAGGATGTTGGTGATATTACCTGAGATGAAAGAAACAGATATATGGAAGAGCTTCAGTTCAGATTTTACACTTGTAGAATTTGTGGTGTCTGAGAGATATCAAGAGGAAGTCCTAAAGATCAGAACATATGTGTTCAAATATATCTTTAATTTGAAATTTGTTGATATATGAATACTAACCCTGGTATTGGAGAGAATCATGTATTAGAGTGTATATCTTCAGGAAAGAGTACCTTATGTCACAGCCCGTAGGAACACTAACATTTGCAGTATGGGTAGAGGAGAATCTAACAAGAGACTAAGAAATAACCAGGGAGACAATAGGAAATGATCCAAAAGTGTAGTCTTTCAAGAGAAGAGAAATATTTCCAGATTGATGAGGGGTTGTTGATAGGGAGGCTGTTGGTGACCTTGGTGAGCATGAGAGTGAATAGAAACCAAATTACGGTGGGCTGAGAAGTCCATGGTAAGTAAGATATTTAGTTACGTTGTAGATTTACTAAGTTTGGCTGTCAAGGAGGAAGGGATGAATGGAGGGAGATATGGGATCAGGGGAGGTTTTTTTGTGTGTGTTTTTAAATATGAGAGAGAATTCCTTAGTGGTATTTTAAAAGATAATTTTTAAATATGTTGAAGTATATCAAGTACAGTTTGTTATTAAACAAACTTTCTGTGAGTATATTTCTATATATTTTTTTGCCTTCAACGTCACGGTGGATAATATTTTAAATACTTTCTTTAGTTGCATGGATTCCAAGCAATTCAGCAAAAGTATGAAAGTAGTTCTGTTAATTATCATAGATATAGGTGTATGTTTGACACTCAAAAATTATTTTTGTTTTTCAGATCTTTCAAGAAATCGTTTTACAGAAATTCCTTCTGATGTCTGGTTATTTGCACCTCTTGAAACATTAAACTTGTATCATAATTGCATCAAAACCATTCCTGAAGCCATTAAAAACCTGCAGATGTTAACATACCTTAACATTAGGTAAGGAAACAATTTTGGGGGAGTAAATTTTAGTTTGTTTGTTTTTTTGTTACAATTATAATCCTTTTAGTTGCAAAGGACTGTGTTTGGTTTAGCTATGTAGCCTGTATCGCAACAGTATCTTATTTGTATTTTTTATATATTCCCATTACTGTATAGGCTTTTGGTTTTGCTCTTGAGAGCAGTGCTTCTCAAACTTTAATTGCACAGGAATCAGATGCAGATTCTGATTCCATAGGTCTGCAGTGAGGCCAGCATTCCTAACACTCCCTCCACCCCTAGTAATGCCCATGTCTGCTGGTCCTTAGATCACTTTGAGTAGCAAGGCTTTAGATCAGAAGTATTTTACTGAAATTATAGCACCACAATAAAGATTTATTTATGTGCATCCTCAGTTAAAGTAAAACATTATAAAGACATAGTTCTTAATTGTTCACACTCTTGTGACTTCTTGTTGCTACTTCAAGGATGGATAAATTGGGATGGGAGTATTGGAATGTTAGGAAGTTGATGACAGTTGATGGTAATAATAAACTGTTTACTGTGTGCCAAGCAGTGTTACAGATACTTTACCCATGTTACCTCATCTCATCTTCACAACAGCATTTTGAGATATGTGCCATTATTATCCCTGCATTGCAGATGAGGAAACTGAAGCACAGAGAGGTTAACTATTTGCCTAAAGTTTATATATATTGCAAATGGTAGAGCTAAGATTCATATCAAAGCAGCAGTGTGGCTGTAGAACTCTCATTTTTAACTATTACCGTATGTTTATAATAGAGGGAACATTTAATAAGTATAAGGGAAAAAATTGCCCAATCAGATGAGTAGCATTGAATGGAAACTCATATATTGTGACTGAATTTTAGAATCATTTTCTTACTTTTCTTTTTTGTTTTGAGTTGTAAGGGATAATTTCTTCCACCCTCCTTAACAAAGTTACTTGTCTAAATTCTCATATAGGAAAATAGTAAATATAATATACATAAATAGTAATGCTCCTTTCTTTCTGTGATATATTAATTCTTACATATGTTTCCCCCAGTGGTGTCACCTGGCAGTACATACAATTTTAACTGAAACCATTTTAAACCTTAAAATGTGTGAGAAGAATTTCCTTCCATAGATGTTGGTCATTTGGGTTGCTCCTTCCTCTGATTGGGTACATGTCTCCTTGGCTGGCTTGGGAGAGGTTTAAGGAAAGTGAGGTATTTTTAAGTTTTTGGCTTTGTTTTTGTTTTATTTTGTTCTTTTATAGAAAAAATGATTTGTCAAAATTGAATTGCATTTGTATATTAACATGTATGGTATATCTTAAAATAGTTTTTCTAAAACTTTCTTTGATTCTTTCCCATTTTGATATCTAAAAGTTGACTCCTGATTTTTGTTTACTGTCACAAAATTTCTGAAAACACTGTATTGAAATAGCATTTGTTCTAGTGACTGACTTCCTTTGACTGTTTCTAAAATGTGTCATAAAAGTGAAGATTGATGTCTTATTAACTATGTATAAAGAAATCAGATTCTGGAGAAAGCTGGCTGCTAACTCAATGAACCTGCTTCTTAAGGGAAGAAAAGAAGCCAGTTTTAAAACTTTTTTTGGTCTGAGGGAGATTAAAATGAGTTTGTTTGTGTCATTATTTTTCCTTTTTATTTTATTTTTATTTTGGTAAAAATATCTTGAGAAACTTGTAAGGTGATTTTTCAGCTCTTTGTTTCTTCTTGTATACTACCTCCTTTTTCAGTAGCATCTGCAGGAAGGTCCCTGTGTGCCCCAGACAGACCACTTTCACAAGGATCCTACTTGGTCCATAAAGTGTCAAGGGTTGTGACAAACTCCTAGCATATTTGACGTCCCAGCAGTCTGGCCAGGATTGCTGGTCTAGGGGTAGTGTCCCTTTTTTTTTTAAGGTCTATATCATGTGTTTAAAGCCAATTTAGTGTTTCTGGACATCTTCTGCAGGCATAAAATGAGGTGAAAGATCTTGAAGTCCCCCATTGGGGTAACACTGGGCTTTTGTTGCTGTGCATGTTACACAGCATGCTGGGTACAGGTCTATAAATGTCACTTTGAAAAGCAGGAAAAATAATAGCTAATTGCTAATGAATGCTTGATAGTATGTAAATGTAATGGTAAATTATATATTTTGGTAATAGGATTGTCTTAGTCTGTTCATGCTGCTGTAACAGAATACCATAGACTGAGTGGCTTATAAACAACAGAATTTTATTTTTCACAGTTCTGGAGGCTAGGAAGTTCAAGATCAAGAAGTGCCAGCAGGTTTGGTGTCTTGTGAGGACCTGCTTCCTGATTCATAGATGGCTGGCTTCTCACTGTGCCCTCACATGGCAGAAGGAGCAAGGGAGCTCTCTGGGGTCTCTTTTATAAGGCCACTGATCATCTTCCAAAGGCCCCACCTCCAAATACCATCACATTGGGGATCAGGTTTCAATATTATAGTTTTGGTGGGAAGGACGCATTTAGTCTATAGCAGGGATCATTTGGATCAGTCTACTCTGGGATATAAACTTGACCAAAATTAGTTGAGGGTAAGGGACCTAGAGCCAGATTGCCTGGATTTGAATCCTGGCTCTCCCACTTACCAGTTCTGTGACTTTGAGCAGTTTACTTAATCTCTTTTAGACTGTTTCTTCATCTGTAAAATGGGCATCATGATAGTATCTATCTTCCTAAAGTAGTTTGTTGTGAGGGTTAGTCGAGGTAATTCACATGAGGTGCTCTGAACATAGCTTGGCACATAGTAAGCACTCAATAAATGTTATTTGTCCTTATATTTAAATGTATCCACAGAGACAGGAATGTTGTATTAACTTTGAACTGAGATAAAGGTGCTAGTAGGCTGTTCTACCATAAACCCGGAACAAAGGGGAAGGGCTTAGGGTTACTACATGTTTTTAAAGATATAATCTAAATTCTTTCATAAATTTGAACAGAGTACATGCAAGTTTATCCATGAGCCTTTCCCTAGTTAGAGGCACAGAGATATTGAATACAGTAAAATTATGCCAGAGGGGAAGGTTCTGGCATTCTCTAGTTCAGAAGAATGATTCTGCCTTTTGAGGATTGGTGGTATGTAGGACAAGATCATGGGTCTGCTGTGCCTGGGCTTAACCAATTTTAACCTTCGTTTTTTAATATGTATAATGGAAATAATAATACCATCTGTCTTGTGGGGTTAATGTGAGGTTTAAATGAGAGAGTGCATGTAAAGATTTTAGCCTGTTACAAACTCATTAAATGATAGTTATTATTTAGTGAAAACTTCTTACTTACTTTTGAGGTGATTTGTTCTTTTTCAACATAGCATGTCACATTTCAGACATATTTCTCATAATGAGACTTTCTTATTCTTTTCAGTCGAAATCTTTTATCAACATTGCCAAAATACCTATTTGATCTTCCCCTTAAAGTTTTGGTCCTCAGTAATAATAAACTGGTATCCATTCCAGAAGAGATCGGGAAGTTAAAAGATTTAATGGAATTGGTGAGTAAAATAGTTGCATCGATTGTGTATAACATGCATAATACATGCCTTTATATTTTAGAAGATTAATTCCTTTATGGAATTTAACTGTGATTTAAAGAAAATAACCTGGTATATGCCTAAGTTCACTTCAGTAAAATTTTGAGGTACCATTGCTTATGTCCGATTTTAGCTCATAGCTACAATAAAAGCCTGGTTATTTCTCAGTCCTAGTGAGGTCAGAAGTCTTGTTTATAAATCTTAAGAAATGCTTTTGAAACGAATGAGCATTTGTCTATCCATTGCGTGGGCAGTTAAGTTCTTAGACCAAAAAAAGATAAGGTTTTTAAGGTTTTACAGGGCATTTATGAAAGCCTCAGAGAAAGGGGATAAAAGAAGAGAGTACAATGCCTGCAAATTAAGTAGAATTAAAGAAATAACTTTTCTGTCCTATATCTTCATGTGATTTTCTTTTTTTATTGAGTTACAGAATCTTCATGTGATTTTATAACACTTTCGGGGCCAAGATAAATGGAAAGAGGCCATTATATATAATTGATTATAGAAATATAGAAATAATTTAAAGTAATTTCTTTGAACATAACATTTTAGGTATTAAAGCATATTGAACTCTGAGAGGAATATAATCAAATCTTCAAAGCATTGAACTATTTTCACATCTGTTGCTCCTACCTCACACAGTATACTGTGCTGTTTATTTTTGTTTTCTGTTTTATCTTGAGTAATGCTTTCCAGATACATAGATCTTTAAAACTGTTCATAAGTATGACTTTTGAATGTGTGGATGGACAAGTTTTCTTGAGGAACTTATGTACAATTTTATAATGGGAAATTAATATGCAAATAGAATGTAATGAACAGAATTTCAGGAATGTCTTTTTAAAAATTCAGTAGAGAATACCTGCACGTGCAATTGAACGCAAGGAAACTTTCTTGAACTTGGTATGGTTATACCTTAGAACCACAGAATTTTAATATTGTCAGTGATCGTGTAAGTGATCAGATATAACCACTTCCTAATGCAGGAATCCCTGACACATCTAGTTGTATATTTTCAGTGATGAACAAATCTTTGTGTGTGTCTCTGAGGCAGCCCTAATTCTCTTTTGCAGAACTCTTATTTGTTTTCTTTCTTACTTTGAACTAAAATACATACCCCTACCATTTTTATCTCTTGGTCCTAGGACTGCCACGTGAAGAGGTATAGATAATGACATCTTTTCTTCCTTCAGATATTTGTAATCTCTTATGTATCTGCTTTCCATTTACCAAACCTGTTTTTTACCAGACCTGTTTTTCTGTAGCTTAAATATCTTTATTACTTGTGTTTCTTTCTATATTTCTATTCTTTATTCTTTTTTATTTTTAGCTATTTCCATCCTGAAAATATCCCCTTTTATTAAGGTCTCTCTTAATGTTATACTCACAGCTGAACAGAAGATGCCAGATGTGATCTAACAAATTCATAATAAAAGGGGACCATTACTTTCTTTGACCTGGACACTTAATATTTTTAAAGATTTTATAAATGTTATACTTTGAGTCTATGGCTCTGTAATTTCTTTTTCTTTCTTTTTCATTCAGTTTTTGGCCCTACGTTCTAAATTATATTACGTGAGATAGTTTTTGGATAAATGAAATTTCAAAAATATTTAGGATTTTTAGATTTAGTCTAGTATTTTTAAATAGAATACTAAAAAATATAGAAAATCATTATGTCATTAGACACTATAAAATTATTGTGCTTTAAACTCTCAAAATCAGTAATAGTGGATAGATTCTGTTAGGAAGGCTAGTTGACAATTATAAACCACATAATGAATTTGTTTGAGTATTACCTGTCACTGGAACATTTTTCCCATAACACTCTTCTATAAGAATGTGGTAGCCAGCTACAGTGAAGTTCTGTCATTAGACCTAGGAAATGCTCTCAAGCCTCTAATCCCCAGCAGAGTATTTTGTAGAGTACCCATTGGTGAGTGGGTCAGTTTCCTGTGCCTGGGTTTATTTCTTCTGGAATGTGATAGCTACCTATCAAATTTCTATGGGTTTTCTGTATAGAAATCTTCAGTATTAGACACCTTCAGAAAGAAGCCATATTATTTATTTTAAAGGGCATTTTCCCCAAATTTTATTACCTGTCATTTGGATAATAACCTATATATACTCAACACAACAGCAAAGGTGATCCTGTCAAAACGTAGTCAGATCATACCTCTGTGTAAAAGTTTCTGGTTCCTGCCCACATCTCTGAGTAAAAGTTTCTGGTTCCTGCCCACATCTCTGAGTAAAACCCCACCCTCCATCCTAGTCTTTCCCTTGCCCACTTCCCTCTAGTTATATTGGATTCCTTCCTGTTCTTAGTACGTCAAGCATTCTCTCCTTAAGAGCCTTTACGTTTATTGTTCCTTCTTTTTGGAATATTCCTTTCTTATATATTGGCAAGACTCATACTCTCACCTCTGATAATACTGCTCAAATATCAGCTCCTTTATGAAACAGTCTAAATTGCTCATGTCCAACCACTACTACTAGCACTGCCATTGTCGTTTATCCTGCTCTTTTTTTTTCCATGACACCTGGCAACTTCTAGCATATTATATAATATACTCCCCTTGCTGGAATGTAAGCTCCATGAGGAGCAATGAGGGTGGGAATTTTTGTTTGATTTATTCATTGATGAGTCCCCAGCACCTAGAACAATGCCTGGCAAATAGTTTGTATTTGGTAAATACTTGTTGAATGAAGATGCCTTAGATATAGCTTGAAAGGAGTATGTAGGATACATTTTTAAAATCATCTGTAGGTTAGATGATTAGATATTCTTTACTATTCTTTATCTTTTGAATTTGCCCTCCTGCCTTTTTTACTTTCCATAAAACAATATATGTATCTGTCACTTGTCTTCCTTCAAGCTAATGTCATTTCCACTGAAAGTTGGAAATTGGGGGCAGTAGCAGTAGAATATGAGTATCATTTGCAGTATGTCTGGAATGACTGCTGCCAGAGAGAAATCTTATTGCAGGTTTTCCTTTTTTGTTGATGTGATAATAAGAAAGGGAAGGGAGAGGAGAGCACAGTTAATTTAAGCTCTTCTTTATCCTCTTATTATGGAAATATATACTGTTTACCTTTAAACCAGGGCTTGCATTTTAACTTAACCCTAAGACATTTCTGATTTACATCTCCTAGAATGTCTTTGGGTTATGATGTGAGCCACACAACACTTTGAGTTTGTAATTCCTCATATTTTGTATCCCTATGAGAAAGAAATTTAGTTAAATCAATTCTGACCATGATCCTTGCTTCTCCAACTCACGTCTGTAAATCCTCGACTTTCTCAGCTTCTGCCCAACGAGTATCTCAAAACAACTACTGTAATTGACAAATTATCACAATTGATAGCTGTCTTTTATTTTACCTCTGAATGAAGAGCACCTAGATCATGCTTACTTCTAGTTTTAGTTGGTGAAAGTGGTCTTTAGTTAAGATTTTCCAAAGGCTGACTTATGTAGTACAAGTTATAACCTCACATTTTTGTGCAAAAAAATTCATGTTACCTGTGCTGAGTTGATTCCATGATGCAATATAATTAGAAATCTGCCAGATAATCCATGTTTAGAGAAAAACATTAGAGGTAATTTGCTAGCTATTAGCCATGTGCTTTAATTTAAAAATTGAAATACATCTGTATTTCTCAGTTTCTTATAATTTTATTTTCTTGTTTTCCATAGGATATTAGCTGCAATGAGATTCAGGTTCTTCCCCAACAAATGGGGAAATTACATTCACTTAGAGAGCTAAATATAAGAAGAAATAATCTTCATGTGTTGCCAGATGGTAAGATGCTCACTATTTCTACTGACGTGAATAAGAGAATAACTATGTAAAATTTAATTTAATTATTTTTCATTTCTGAACAGAATTAGGAGATCTTCCCTTAGTCAAGCTGGATTTCTCTTGTAATAAAGTGACCGAAATTCCAGTTTGTTACAGGAAGCTGCATCATTTACAAGTAATAATTTTGGATAACAATCCATTGCAAGTACCACCAGCACAGGTTTGTAATAAAAAAAAGATACTTATTTCTTATATTTTTATTCAGAATTGTATGTTACTGGTAAGCCAAAAAACATCAGAATTAGGAGTCAGTTTGATTTTGAGGTATTATTGTTGTCTAAAACAGTTTTTCTGAGAAGTGACTTTTTTCACCTTGGTAGGTGTTTTAGCCTAGCTTCTAGAGAACAGGATTTAGAAAACACAGACATCAACTTCCTGCTTGTGAACTGATGGTTCTGGTTGTCTATGTTATTTTGAAAGGATAGACTATGGAGTCTCTGCTTCTGTCCTACTCAGGTATATATCTACTTGAGATTTATTGTATGATTGATTGGAACACATTTTTAGCACTGATAGGTGGGATCATAAGAGAAAGAACAAGATACAAGTGGAAAAGTATTAATCTACACTTTTAGTTTGAGGACTAAATCCATGTGGAATCCACTAAAGTGGTAGCAAAGGAATGCACTGTGCTCTAAGCCCATAAGGACAAAGAATGACAGAGAAGAGGACAGGAAGGGAGGGATGGCAACAGAATTTTGGAAAATGGAAAATAGGTGGAATAGTGGTGATTAGGGTTTCTACTTGCACTGGACAGGAGTATCTGGCTGAGGAGGCACATGGTAGTGAAGTGCCAGCCTGAACTCTGCTTCCAGGCTGTGTGTCCTGGCACTGGGTTTGTATACATCCAGAAGATGGGTTACCTTTTTCTTCCTACAAGGGTACATTCCACTCATTGCAAAGGAGGTACCTTTTCTAAATTCAAATAAAAACTGGCTGGGGTTCTGATAGTAGCTGCTTTAGTAGGATGAGGAAAGCTGAAACTTGTGTCTGCTATAGGAGAAGGCAAAAAGAAGCAAATTGATTTTACTGTGTTAAATCTGGTCATGTCTTGAGTATTTCTTCGGTGATTATTGGAGGAAACATGTAATTCTGAATATAGGGATGAAAGACTGAAAACATGAAGGTCTGTTACAATATCTAAGGCTGTGCTATCCAGTAGAACTTTCTGGATGATGGGAATGTTCCGTAATCTGTGATGTCCCTTACCATAGCCACTTGCCACGTGTAGCTACTGAGTACTTGAAATATGGTTAGTGCAGCTAAAGAATCACAATTGCAATTTAATTTTATTTTGATTAATTGAAATTTAAATAGCTTTGCATGACTAGCGGTTAACATATTGGACA